GGGTTGGCGGGGAGGGGGGGCGCATTGAGGAACCTGCCCGTGGGGCAGCAGAGAGAGTAAATCCGGCCCTGGTTTCAGTACCGCAATGGTGGCGTTGCAAGCTCATTACAGCATGTTGGGAGCTTACTGGATTTCTGGTATCTTTCTGTACTTGCGCCGTTTTAAAAACCAAACACGGGAATGTGCAATGTATTAAAGAGATGTACTGAATGTGGTTTCTTTGCCCAGACATACTCTTTATTCTACTACTTTTATACCGTCATTGATCTCTCTGTGTCCTCTAGGTGGGCAGGGACAGCACGGTGCACATTTGGGACTCTGAGACCATCCGGCCGCTCTCCGTACTGAAGGGTCATCATCAATTTGGGGTGTGTGCGGTGGATTTCTCAGGTGAGTCTGCCCTGTGCTCCTTCCATTGTAGATCGCCTGCGGCTACAACTACCGACACTCGTAACACTCGTAACATTAGTAGCTGTGTATCGTTATCTGTTATTTCATTCATTATCCAGCTGCTTTCCCTCCCGCTATGTGCTGCTATTATTGATTATCATTGTTCAGCCGCTGTCGCAGCTAAAATAAGTTATCATTCAATGTAGGGCTGTTAATGATGAAAATTTTCGTGTTCGATTAATCGAAATGTTTTAAAATCGATTAATCGATTAATTTTGATTAATTATAATGCACATACAGATCCAACTCCATTGCCCTATACACACACAGCACAGCAATGAAGTAATAAAATGAACTAGGATCACACTCATCCAGCACGTTATTCATCTCACGTGCCCCACTCAATATGGCCGCCGCTTGACTGGGGCAACTCAGAATAATAACGTGCTGGATTAGTGTGATCCTAGTTCATTTTATGACTTCATTGCTGTGCTGTATGTGTATAGGTCATTGCTGTGCTGTATGTGTATAGGTCATTGCTGTGCTGTATGTGTATAGGTCATTGCTGTGCTGTATGTGTATAGGCCAATGCCGCGGCTGGCGCTCGTGAAGAAAGATTTTTAAAAAATGTAATCGATCAAAAAGATTAACGATTAATCGAGAAATGAATCGTTAATTTGCACAGCCCTAATTCAATGTTATGATCTGGTATTATAAGGACGCACCCGCTCAGCCCCGGGAACTAGACCTGAACGAGCAGCGGTCACACGGTGCTCTATTGCAAAGGTCAAGCTCTGCCTTCTCCAGGCAGTACCTTCCCCTGCCTATTGGCCAAGAGGCACTTATTTCCAGGGTGGGTGTGGCTTTCGGACCGTTGACAAATCCAAATTTGCTTGAAAAGTCTCCCAAGATTGTCTGCATCCCTCAGACCCTAAGGCAGGGGTCTCAAACCTACGGCCCTCCAGCTGTGGGTGAAACTACAAATCCCATGATGCATCTCTCTTTGGGAGTCATGTCTGTGGCTGTGAGAATCTTGCAATGCCTCATGGGATTTGTAGTTCCACCGCAGCTGGAGGGCCGGAGGTGTGAGATCCCTGCCCTAAGGGTACCATAAGGATAATGTTCCCATTGCATAAATGAATATCGGGACTCTCCTTCTAGTTTTGTATATTGATGATAAAGCCGTCCGTCTTTATCAAAGTGTATCTGAACCCAAAGACAAAAAATGCCACATGTTGCAGATTACCCATCCTTAGATGTGGTGGCCGCATTCATTTTCTTTTTTCAGGCTTTATTTTCACTTGGTGATCCTGCCAGTAACATATCTGTAAAGAAAATAAGTCAAGGCAATTGGACTTGCTGTATTTTTCTTGAAGGCGTTTTGCTGGCCATCCAACCAGCTTTCTCAATTCAGAATGGTTGGATGGCCAGTGAAACGTCTTCCAGAAAAATACAGAAAGTCCAGTTGCCTTGACTTATTTTTTTACAGATATACCATGTGACCTGGACGAATGAGAACCTTCACAGACATATGCTAGTAATATACTTTCTGTCCTAGGGTGACCACACTCACTTACTGTATTATATCTATGGACGAGCAATGTTGTCACCCTTGGACAGGAAATGTGTTACTACATAACACCTCTCCTCTTCCTCATATCCGTAGCATAGAGGGGAGCTGTTTTGTAGTCCACAGAAATAGCAGGGAGCAATGTTACTGATAAGAGCACAGCAGAGGCACATGAAGAGATAAGAACACTACATTTCTGGCAGGACCAACAGCAATTGTTTTTTGCAATAATCAAAATGTAACAGGATGCTTTTATTGGTATAGTGAAGACTCCAAATGGGGGCCAATTAGAGAAGGTCATAGTCAGGGTTATATATACTTTATATGTATAAAAGCAGGATATGCATTTTTTTCTCACATTGATTATATCGTCCTTGTCATTATCATTGTTATGGTTCTATCAAACACTGTAACAGTAATAATAATAATAGTTGTTGTTATTAGATAATGTTTCAGTTTGTTGTTACAATTGTTATGATACATTGTACGATTCTGCAATAATCATTTTCATAACAGATCTTAAAG